TCGAGTACCCTAACCACCTGGCCATGCCGGGCCTATCAGGTTGCTAACCAATAAAGAAGGAACAACTCCGATTCAAACCAAAGGTAGCAGTTTCTAAAAGGTAGACACTTATTGCCTTTAAATATTATACCAAGACTGGACGTTCCGTGGTCGTTTTGTCAACAAAAACCAAATGTTTAAGCTATCTAAACACACCGAGTGATAGAGAGGACTAAGGTTAGATTTTTGATTTCTTCAATTACCTTGAACAGTTGATGGGTTGTCATTTACATAAATTGTTCAGTTTTATTGCTCTGCGTATTTTATTTCTTCCGGAATCATGATGAGTTGTATTTTCTTATGTTAGCGAACTAACGTTTTATAAACTATAATAACAGACCACTTCCTGTTAAACTGCTTAAGAGTGATCAAGATTACAAAATCCTACCATAGCAGCTAACTAAAAGTAATTCTACCCAAAGTTCAAAAGTGTGCGTGCGTTCTTCTAATAATATTAGTCGGTTCAGTAATTTTCTAAGAACACATTAAAATAATGTAAAGTTCAACAAACTCTAAAAACAAAAACTTAAGAAAAATTTTCGGTAAAAAATGTTTCATTCTTCCGATCATGTCGTTCAAAGAATTTTTTTTAAAAAACGAAACTACTATTTGTATGCGTCTTCAACTTATGTACTTCACAATTCTCTCATCAGTTGAAGTAATTAATCTGGATTAGATCTACGAAACATATTTTACTTTCGCCACCTAGTGGCAGTGCAGATTATTTTTAATTCAAAACGAATGATTCTGAGAATAAAAAATAAATAAAACAGGAAATATTTAGAACGAGTTTACCTAAAAATAAACCAAAGGTGGAATATGATATGTCACTGATATATATTAAATTACCTCAAATATATATACGGATTTTTCTATGCCGATATGTAATGCTATTGTTTGTTTGTTTTGGAATTTCGCGCAAAGCTACACGAGGGCTATCTGCGCTAGCCGTCCCTGATTTAGCAGTGTAAGACTAGAGGGAAGGCAGCTAGTCACCACCACCAACTCTTTTTACCAACGAATAGTGGGATTGACCGTCACATTATAACGCCCTAATGGCTGAAAGGGCGAGCATGTTTGGTGGGATGCGGATTCGAACCTGCGTTCCTCAGATTGTGAGTCGAGCGCCCTAACCACCTGGCCATGCCGGGCATACCCCATTAAAGTAAAACTTTACTGAATGATTTACTAATTACTTGTTTGATGAGTTTCCAATTAGTTTCAGGGCATTCAAAAAATTTCGGACCTTTAATCATTAACAGTAAAAAAAAAAAATCTTCATTAGTTACGATATCAAGGTTACCTATAAGCACATGGTCAATGGAAGAACAGACGTACAGAGATTATAACATTTGCATTTATAGGAAGGCTAAAATA